ACCCAGCCGACAATATCGAGCTTCTTCACGCGCAAGCCAGCGCAACCCCCCAAAGCCGCTGCTACTGCCACTCCTGCCGCTCCCGCTCCCGCTGCCACTCCTGCATCTCCACCAAGAACAAAGTCTCCGCCTGCCACAAACGGCACGACCCAGAAGGACGATAGTGACGATGACGAAGAAGATGGTCTTCCAATAAAGACACCTCTTACCCTCCGTAAGCGCGCAGTACATGACGATGATAAACCCCAAGACTCAGGTCGGTCCTCGCCTTCCAAACGCGTTCGCTTTACCAAAAACGTCTCTGCGCAACAATCACCTACGCACACATCCGCCACTACCTCGGGTATATCGAAGCCCCCCAAGATCACCGATAGAACCTCCAAGTTTCTGTTCTCCTCATCACCGGCGATTCAAGACGAGAACAAATCAGACAACGATGACGATGGCGACGAGGAAGATGCTGCCGCTGCCCAGAAGCAAAAGGAGAGACTACATGAGAAGTTTGTAAAGAAGCTGGGTCGTCCTGATAGCTTTGCCGAACTGCGAAGGCGGAACAAGATCATCTCTGAGGACAATGTCAACGAGGAAGAAGGCGAGGGCGACGAAGATGACGAAGAAGAGCCCCCACCAAAGCCTGTGAAAGGCAAAAAGGCCGTCGCCACGAAAAAGGCCAGCAAGTTGACGCCTATGGAAATCCAATATCTCGATATCAAGCGCAAGCATCTGGACACTATCATCGTCATGGAGGTCGGATACAAGTACAAGTTCTTTGGTGAAGATGCAAGAATCGCATCCAAGGAGCTAGGAATCGTCTGCATACCAGGAAAGTTTCGCTACGACGAGCATCCTTCTGAGGCACACCTGGATAAATTTGCGTCTGCGAGTTTCCCTACTCATCGCCTGCAAGTCCATGTCAAACGTCTTGTACAAGCGAACCACAAAGTGGGTGTGGTGCGCCAGGTCGAAACTGCAGCGCTCAAGGCGGCTAGCAACAACAGGAACGCACCATTTGTCCGAAAACTCACAAATCTCTACACCAAAGGCACATATGTGGATGATGTAGAAGGCCTGGAAACACCAACCGAAGGCTCAGGTGCCAGTGCACAGTCGACTGGATATCTGCTTTGCATCACTGAGAGCAATGCCAAGGGTTGGGGTACAGACGAGAAGGTCCAGGTCGGACTGGTGGCCGTACAACCGGCAACAGGCGATATCATCTACGATGACTTTGAGGACGGCTTCATGCGTAGCGAGATCGAGACGCGCTTGCTCCACATTGCGCCAGCTGAATTTCTGGTGGTTGGCGATCTGTCCAAGGCTACCAACAAGCTGATAGAGCACCTCTCAGCCAGCAAGACCAACGTATTTGGAGATAGGTCACGAGTGGAGAGGGTTGAGAAGCCCAAGACAATGGCTGCACAAGCATACAGTCACATCTCGAACTTCTATGCAGGCAAAATGAAGTCCAGTACAGATGCTGATTCGGAAAAACAAGGTGCGGTCCTAGACAAGGTGCATCAACTATCAGAGCATGTTACTATATGTCTGTCTGCCATGATCACATACCTCAGCGAGTACGGACTGGAACATGTCTTCGACCTTACCAAGTACTTTCAACCCTTTAGCGCACGATCATACATGCTGCTCAACGGAAACACATTGTCCAGTCTGGAGATCTACCAAAACCAGACAGACTTCACGTCAAAAGGCAGTTTGTTCTGGACCATGAATCGAACAAAGACTCGCTTCGGACAACGGCTGCTCAGGAAGTGGGTTGGTCGACCATTGATTGATAAAGTCAAGCTGGAAGAGCGTATTGCAGCTGTTGAAGAGCTCAAGGAAGGCGAGCACACCATACCGGTGGACAAGTTGAAGTTTGTATTGGGAAAAATCAAAACCGATCTCGAAAAAGTTCTCATACGAATATACTACAAGAAATGTACAAGGCCTGAGCTGTTATCGGCTCTGCAGGCACTTCAAGAAATATCAAGCCAATACTTGTCTGCTCAGACGCCTGAGCAAAGTGGCTTCTCGTCAACACTGTTGAGTGAAGCTGTCTCAAACGTTCCAAAAATATACGAGGACTTGAATGGCTTCCTTGACAAGATCAACGCGAGTGCCGCCAAAGATGACGACAAGTATTCATTCTTTCGAGAGGAGCATGAGGCGGAGGACATCAACGATCTGAAGCTCAGCATTGCGTCAGTAGAAGATGACCTCAACACACACAGCAAAGAGGCAGCAGCAAAGCTTGGGAAGAGTAAGGTGGACTATGTCACCGTTGCGGGCATTGAGTATCTGATTGAAGTCAAGAGGAAATCACCCGAGGAGAAGAAAGTCCCTGCATCATGGCAGCAAATATCAGCCACCAAGGCTATTCTTCGCTTCCACACTCCAGAAGTTAAGCGTATGCTCCAAGAGCGGGATCAGTACAAAGAGTCACTTGCCGCCGCGTGCGACCGAGCTTACATGCGTCTATTGGAGGAAATTTCATCCAAGTACCAGCAATTGCGAGACTGCATAGCTTCTTTGGCTACGCTTGACGCTCTTCTGTCTCTCGCTACCCTAGCAAACCAGCCAGGCTATGTAAAGCCCACCTTCACAGACGACATTCAAATCAACATCACCGGCGGTCGACATCCAATGGTCGAACAGCTACTTCTCGATAGCTACGTGCCAAATGATCTCTCGTTATCGCACGACTCTACCCGTGCCCTTCTCGTAACAGGTCCAAACATGGGCGGAAAATCCTCTTTCGTACGCTCTGCCGCTTTAATCGCCATCATGGGACAAATCGGGTCTTATGTGCCAGCCAGCGCGGCACGTCTAGGAATGCTAGACGCAGTGTTCACTCGCATGGGCGCATTCGACAACATGCTCAAAGGTGAGTCGACATTCATGGTCGAACTCAACGAAACATCCGACATCCTCAAATCCGCAACCCCGCGCTCTCTAGTTATCCTCGACGAGCTTGGTCGCGGCACTTCGACTTTCGACGGTGTTGCCATAGCGGAAGCAGTGCTCGACTACGTCATTCGTGACTTGCAGTCCCTAACGCTATTCATCACGCACTACCAGCACCTCGCCAAGGTTCCGTCGCGATTTCCTGATGGCCAACTGAAGAATGTGCATATGCGGTTTGAAGAACAGAATGGCGGGAGGGAAGTGGTGTTTTTGTATGAAGCAACAGAAGGTATTAGTCATCGGTCATATGGGCTTAATGTTGCTCGGTTGGCGAGAGTACCCGACAAGGTTCTTGATGTTGCGGAGGTGAAGAGCGCAGAGTTGGAGCAGAGCATGGAGGCTCACAAGCTGGCGAATCTGTAAGTGCAAGATGATGATACGATGGGGAGAAAGGAGAACTAACGATGAATAGATCGCGCATGATGAAGGGGCTGCTGAACGACGACTCGGAAGCAATGCTTGACAAGCTTGTCGAGGGCATTGGGCAGCTGTAAAGCGAATTTGGAAATGTATGATAGTAGTGGAGGGCTCTGTGTTTGGCGCACCAAGATGGATCGTCATATAATGCAGTATCGGTAGATCATAGGTGTTTAGTAATAGAAAGACACTACTTGCGGCATCAATTGCATGAAAATCGAACAACATCAAACATCAGCGTAGACAGTTGATACAGATCATCATTATTTCATTTCATGACTATCATAACAGTATCATCATTCCCCAAGGTCGTAGCACCCAGCGCCCGCAACCTTTTCTTCATTACGACGAGCTTATTTGTCCTTGAAGGGCATGTCCTTGCCGGTAGCACCCTTGTACTGTCCGCGGATAAAGTCGCTAATCTGCTCGTCCTTTGCTTGCTCGAGCGCAGACTCGTTGTCCTGAGGACCCTGACCGAGGAACTTTTCCTGGACAAAGTCGACACCTATACATGTATCTGTTAGTACTCATGCCCACACTATCCTTTTACAGAAAGATAAGATGAAGGGGAAGGGGAAGGGAGGGGCAGTAGCAAAAGACCAACAACGTACCCTTGTCAAGGTAATCCTCGTTCTTCTCGCTAGCCTTGCCGCCGCCAGCAGCCTCGTTGAGCTTGTTGCCAATGCCGCCGAGGAAGCCGCCTGAGCCTGATGATTGCTGTCCTGCGTTCTGGTCCTTGACGACCTGCTCGTTTACGGACTGGCCCTGTCCCTGGCTCTGGCCGCCGGCGAGTTTGTTGACGAAGTCCATGATGAAATTGATGTGTTCTTTCTGGAAAGAAGACTAAGGGTTTGATGCGAGGTAGGTAGGTAGTAGAGGATTGATTAGAGGGAAAAAGCTTGTTTAGTTGTTGAGTGTGTGTGAGAGAGAGAGATAGAGAGAAGAAGAATGATACGCGAAGGGAGAGAGACGTATTTATACAAAAGGTGTTGGAACCAACCTAAGAAGGGGGGGTGGGACGGGCTGCGGGCTGCGGGAAGGAAGCAAGCACAAGCTACCAAAGCAACAACAACGGAGCGGGGTGGGGTAAAGAAAACCAAGATCTAAGCCCCCATCATCGACGGACAAGAATTCCAAGAAGTTGCATCATTCTCCGACTACTAGCAGCTGAAAGCGAGCAAAAAAAACAATGGTTTGATAGGCTCGTTCGTCAATCTGGTCTACCGCTCTTTGTACCTTGATGTGTAGCGGTGACTTTGCCCCGTTGCGATTAGCACTGCCCCGCGCGGGCTGCATGGTCGACGTCATTCCTAAGGACCCCGCGCCAGAGCTGCAAACTAGCACGTTTTTTATCGTCGCTAAAGAGTTCGGGGTGGGGGCGATGTGAGTGTTGTGCGTGTGTGTTTGACACGTGCGGGGCGGGAGGAAGCCTTTTCGAATCGGATTTCATCATTTTCCAGTCTTTACTTTTTTTGTGTGTGTCTCTTTTCTAGGCGCGCGGACGAGGCTTGGATCTAGAGCGTCATTGTTTGGCCAGTTGAAACTTGTTTCCTTCTCTACGTACTACTACAACGTAACCGCTGCTGGCTCAAGCTTTTTCTTGGGGGAGCTTTGACGTGATGATACCGATTACCATCATCACGGGGTTTCTGGGCTCGGGAAAGACGAGTATGTTGCACCTCACTTTACTTACTATCCTTGCTTATCAGTCTTTCTTTTACCCTGCAATCTCGCAGATATTGAATGCATGTGCGCATGTTTCTTGGTTTCATCCTGCTAACACCACGTAGCCCTCATCTTAAACCTTATCCCCCAGCTGCCCCCGTCGTACAAGCTCGCGCTCCTCAAGAATGAGTATGGCGATGTCAAGGTAGACACTGCACTCGCGTCATCTGCAGCCATTTCTGGCGTGCAAGAGCTGCTTAACGGCTGTATATGCTGCAACCTCGTAGGCCAATTGTCCGATGCGCTCGAAACGCTCGCCCGCGATGTAGAACCCGATCGCATTGTAATCGAGACTTCAGGGTCTGCCTTCCCGGCCACGCTAGTCATGGAGGTCAACCGGCTGAGCCGCGAGACGGGCAAATATGTGCTCGACGGCGTAATGAGTGTCATTGATGTAGAGAATTGGAAGGGATACGAAGACACGAGTATTACGGCGAAAATGCAGGCGCGGTACACCGATCTCATCGTGCTGAACAAGCACGAGCTGGTTAGCGAGAGACGGTTGGAAGATGTGGAAGACGCCATTCTGGCGCTCGAGGTGGAGCCACAGATTCCTAGGACTAAGAGTCGCAAGGGCTGGGTGGACAAGGATATCGTCTTTGGCTTGGATGCGCGGCTTGCAGGCGTTACGGAGGAAACAAAGGATGGAGCGCATACGCATGAGCACGACCACGGGCATTCGAGTGAGGTAGAGGTTCTGACTGTGACGCTCAAGAGCGAGGACAGGGCAGGGAGCGTGGATACGTCAAAGTTGGCAAAGTTCCTGCAAGATCCGACAAAGGACGAAGTATACCGGATAAAGGGTATTCTTTATGCTTCTACACCACCCAAGTCTTCCGACACTACACCCGCATCCACTCAGCAAATACCAGAAGGAAGAGCGAGATATATTCTGAACTGGGCGTTTGGCCGTTGGACATTTACACCTGTAGCCTTGCCAGCAGGCGAGCAATCGAAAGAGGAGCCGGTGCTTAGGCTTACTGTGATTACGGCGAGGTACGAGTCTACAAAGTGGAAGAAGGAGATTGAGTCAAGCGGGCTTGTGGCGCTGGAAGGCGAGGCGCCAGGGGCATTGACAGTGGAGAAGATAGCATAGATGGCGCTGTCTATGTGTAGATACCCCCTCACATCAAGAATTAGACGATTTAGATTTGCGAAAATAGATACACCTCAGTTTGTTCGAGTCTGATACTGTAGCAATTCTTTCACAGCTGAGCATTATGGTCCAGGGTCTATATAGATTTAACGGTGTGCCAAAGGGAGCACCCGATATTGATTGAGATTTCTGTAATATCAGCTTTCCTGCTGTAATTGCTCAACACAACTTCTCAACAAGCGCATCAGTGTCATCTGTATGCTCCGGCCCGCAGGCGTGCCCGCATGTTTGCCAGCGCCCCATCCAAACGGCAGCACCAGCCTCCTCTTTGCATTTCTATCCAGGACAACGAGCGCATCTAATGGGAACTTTCCTCCGCCCAGAGGATGCAAGAGACCCAGCCGGACAAAGTGGTTGTTGGATGTGGTAGCAGCCTGTACCAACGGGAGCGAAAAGGGGACAGATGGAGAGAGGCGATGTGTAGAAGGGTCATGGCAGAGAACAAGGGCTTGGAGCGAGGGCGAGAGTTTGTATAGGTCTGGCAAGGCCGAGCTATGGCATGTCAATTATGATTTTTTTTCCTGAGATTTGGAACGCAGCGTACCATAAGAGCTCATAGTGTATCTGAACATTACCTTGCACGCACAGCACTGTTATTGACTGGCCTCGTTGATATCTGGCCCAGTTATTATGCGCCTGTAGCTTACTATCCGGTGGCGCCGCGAGCACATTGCTGGCTAGTATGGCGTCTACATCGACTGTCCATGCATCTTCCGGGCGTACGATTTCCAGCTCTTCCAGCTCGCACTGTGTCTTTGATTTCTTCAGAGTGTCTCCAAACGGAGATGGCGCAGGCGACGGCTCCCTTTTTGGTGGCAGATCCTCGTCATCATCGAGGGCCAGGCGCGAGCGTTTGCGGCTCAGTGCCACGTCCATGGTCCAGCTATGTTGCGTTAGTAAGTCAGCCATTTACGCTGTCGCACCACTTTTTGTCGCGGTGATACAGGGAAGATAGAAAGGGCATGGCTGGAACCGCCAGCGTACATTGATTTACATAACGTGCTGGAGGATTTGCGGTTGTCACAGAGACGACGCGTGGGCAGGAGACTCAGGGGAAGGGTGCGAGGGCTTACTAGGCTGCCCGAGCTTCTGCTTCCCTGCATGGTTGCTGACTTTTACCCCGCCATAGTCGTGACTGCCTTTTGGGGACTACCCCACTATCGCTCGTGTGTGTGTGCCTAGACTCTCTCAGCAGGCGGGCTTGTAACGTGCATCTTAGATGCATTCGCTTCCATGGCTTCCAAAGACGTCACAAGCAGACTGCGACAAAGCACCTGGAACGGGAGCATCCCCCTCGAGATACGGCTGCACAAGGGCGACTGCAGGACGTACGATGAGTCGGATCCTTACATAGTACGTGGAAAGCAGCATGTTGCTGTTGGATGAGGTGTTGTATGTAGGCTGGGAGCTGTGTGTGTTGACGAGCTTGCTAGATACAATTCCCACGGATCTCATACCTTGGCCTGTTGATCCACAAGCTGCATACCTTCTTCTCGCGCAGCCTCATCTACCCGGATGTCAGCCCCAAAGACGCGTGGCTCTCTTACGAAGATGTTCCGTTGAAGTGGCATTATCCCCTTGGCCTTCTATATGACCTCTACTCTGGAGCTGAGCCTGCATATCCCCCAGACGCAGACGTAGACGCCGCACCAGCACACCAGGTTGAAGGCGGCGAAGAGGAACACGGTCGGCTTCCATGGCGTCTCACGGTTCACTTTTCAGACTATCCGACTGAGCAGCTGGTGCAACTCGACAATGACGGCAAGCACCTCAACGACATGTTCATTCAGAGCGTCAAGGAGGCAGACTACCTGAGGACGGGCACGGGGAAGACGGTCATGTTTCTGAGTAAGGAGGACAGCACGCAGCTGTGGGAGGGAGTTAAGAAGCACGAGTTTGCGCTATATAACCCCATCAACCAAAAACTACTCAACCCGCAGGGAGTCAGTCTGAGACATTTACCGGTCAGACTGTATTTGCCGCATGCAGCGACGGAGGGGGTGCAGGAGGAGACGGCGCCCGGGAGTTTGAGGATTGTGCAAAGACTGGTCACACCGAGTCTGTCGTCTAGTAGGTGCACGTGGTTGCGGTGTGAAGTGGGAGTGAGGCTAACAGGGGAACAGGGCAACCACAGACCATCGGCACCGCACTGAATCACGTGCTACCTGGCTTATTTCCGAGCAGGCGAAGTCCCCTACTGGCACAAGCAGTGCTCCACGGGGCAGCACTACCCTTGGGGGCGAGTGTGGAGGAATTGGTACGTGCAGCAGCGTACCTGGACGGATGGTTGCACATTGCAGTTGTTATGATGGGATGATAAGTAATTGCTTTGTGTCTGGCGCGGTATTAGAAAGCGGCCCGAGTCATGGAGGATGTGCGCTACGCCAATATTGTTGATATCAGCAATATTGGTTTTGCAGGCGAGGGCGAGGGCGAGGGTGAGGGCGTGAGTGTGACGTTGAATGTGTATGGCCGTCGAGCTCGCCACAACTGCTGCATATGCACACGAGAAAGGGGAGCGTTGATATGAGGGCTGCACTGCGTCAGACACAGGCCCGCACGAGTCACCGTCAAGAACGCCAATGTTTGCCAAGATGCGGGGGCAAGCATTGCAGAAGCTTAGTGAGGATCGCAGGAACACACTAATCCAGCCAACATCACACCTACGCAACTCTGTTTGTGAGCAGCAGTCGGCGCTGTCAGCATCAGGCACCAAACACCAGAGCAGGTCCAGCGCCAGCCAAGGTGAGGCGAGGCATGCGGGAAATGAGGCATTATTGGGAGGGTTGTATTGTTTTGGCTTCCGGTGTGCTCGGTCTATCTTTTTGCATGGCATGCCTCCGTCGGCTCTAGGCTCGCGGCCAACTCGGAGCAGGGCGGCAAATGGGGACCATCAGTCAGAAGAGATAAGCATCGGCTGATGACATAAGTGCAGCCAATGCCGCCGCTGCTGCTATCACCGAAACAGCAACACTCAACCGTGTCGCAGGGAACTTGGGCGCGGCTGGGTGGAGCCGATGGGTAGCGTCAGCGGCGGCTTGCAGCGACGCGATGCAGTTGTGGAGGTCGTCGAGGGTACTATGCATATGTATGTATGTAGGCGTGGTAAAGGAGCAACGGTGAACAGCTACGTAACAATGCGAGAGCCGTTCAAGACCCTTTTTTACTCTAAGCAACACCGGATGGTAGCAGCAGCCCCATCCCACTTCGTACGAACGGATGCCGTAGTGTGTAATTGCATGCCGCGCCATTGGCACACGTGACGTCGCTCTTTCAACCCATTTGCTAGCTAGCTTCCTCAACCCTTCATTGCGACGTTGCTAGCTCCCAGCCATTCTTAATTCTCCTCTGCTCAAACGCTCCTGCTGCCGCTGCTTCCATCTCATTGTCATCCCACATTCCGTAACATATCCACACCGCATTTCACCCACCCAACCTCCAACCTGCCCCCATCTGCTTACATACACCAAACGAAGCCTCTCATCCAACAAAGGTACGTACTAATCATTCCGTCATTACATCTCCACCCCGGCCGAACTGTGTGCAAACCCACCCTTGCAAGCTTGGGGCTCCCGGGCAACCCGCTAGGACCGCGGGCCATACAAAATGCCTCATCAACTGCAGAAATTTTCGGCGAAGGCGCGCACTTAAAAAGCCGACTATCAGCGCTTCGAGTATTAAGGCTTTCTGTTTTCGCTTTTTGACGCTGCACCGCTGTTTGACCTGCGCCATCTCAATTCCCACCGCCAAGCTCCTTCTGTGCCCTTCACAACCATCACACCACCGTGGGACTCAACCAAATCGCGCTGACCAGCCTTCTCGTCAATTAGCAATAGCTACTAAACAAAAGCTGTTCCTACCCAGCTCGTCAACTTGCACCAAGGTCCGATTAATTTCGTAAATGTAAGCTTTCCATGCCACCGCCTTTTTCACTGGAGCTCTGTTGGGGGCCGGGGTGGGCCATTACGTCGCATCGTCGCATCCTCCCGCCCATCGAAACAATGTAGTTTTGCGACACGGACCAAGGGCTTGAGCGGCATTCCCAACCCCTTCGCGCAAGATCGCCGAGGCCCCGTCGGACCATCCGTCAATCGTCTTCATTACTACATCCTAACCTCCGCCAATCTTGCTTTCCGCACCGCATCGTCTTCGAACACCCCATCTGACTTTTCTTCTCGCGCAGAAACCTACCTTCACAATGGCCGCCATCAGCATGCCCCTCGCCGCTCGCGCCGAGTACACCCTCCACCAGCTTGCTAAGCGCGACAACTGGGCCCAGCGCGAGCCCGGTGTCATTGTTGTCTTTTGCATTGTTTTCCTTGTCGCCGTTCTGTTCCTTGCCATGTTCATCAACAAGAAGGTATGTGCCATGCTTCCTCTTCTAACTACTCTTGCGCTCTTCCAACAGCGTACTAATAATCATTACAGAGGCAAGCCAGCAAGGGCGTCGCGTAAGATACCCAACGTCGATTTGCGCGGGAGTGGAAAAGGAGCAACATACATTTAGCTTCTAAGGGGTGGAGAGTAAAGGGACAAGAATTCACGGCCCACGATACCAAAGTCAAAAGGCTTCATGTCACAATGTTGTACGGGCAAGAGGCTTGTGTATAATGTGTTTGAATATTCGCGTACAACCTACTTTACATGAGCTTTTCTTTGATAAGAACTGCGACATGGTTTGCGGATATCCTGATTGTATTGGGATCCGTAGTAATAATGAACAAATCGAGATACCTCAACGAGCAATTTCATTCACTTCATCTATCTATATGTGTGTGTACCTCTTAATTTCGACACATGTGCTGCACTTATTTGAAAACCAAAGACTCGAGATCCACCTCTTCCCTGCAGCGCCTAAATCTTACCTTGTTGGCCGGGTCAAACGATATATTCTCACCAAACGCAGGAATCAGTTCCGGGTTCGCATCAGATGCAAGTTCCCAGTCGCACTTAGCAACAGGTGGCATAGCGCAATCTTGACCTCGTGGGCAACGAAGAAACGGCCAGGGCACGCTTGGTCCCCATGGCCGAATCCCATGTGATCGGGGCTAGTCGTGACCAAGTGGACTTTATTAGCGACAGCAGGGTCTTGTCGCATGCGGTAGTAGCGGTACATGTCGTACTTGTCTGGCTCGGACCAGATTTGCGGATTCGCCATGTTTTTGGCATTTACCGTTGTGTATTCTCCCTTTTTGATCACTGTGCCATCTGAAAGTGTGACGTCTTGTGCTGTGACTCTTCTCATGGTCACTATTGAAAAAAAAAGTTAGTTAATAAACACATACGCATACGGTAGCTTTGAAAATTTTGTTGTTTGGAGGGGGGGTTTGGCCTTTTTGTAGGAACCATGTATAACAAAACAAAATTGGGTGGGAGACGGGTAGTAGTAGTAGTAGTAGTAGTAGTAGTAGTAGTAGTAGTATTAGTAATGAAGTACTCACAGTAGTTGATTGGGGATAATCGTTGGGTTTCCTTAAGAGCGCTATCCATGAGCTTGAGGTTGGAGAGGGCTGCTTTGCCAAGGCCGTCGGTAGTTAGTGAGGACCTCAATGATTTCTTTGCGTAGGTCTGCAACTAGATGCGGGTTCATGGCGAAGTGCGTCATTGCCTGGGTCATTAACTCGGACGTGGTGTGGATGGCAGCCATTGTGAGAAGCATCTGGCACCCAACAAGGGCATCTACCGTCGTTTCGCCCTCTTTCTCGAGCCACTCCAGCATGTCGTTGTAGATAGGAGCGGGCTCACCTTTCTTCTCTGCCTCTAACTTGGCTTGCTTCCTTTTTTCTAGGATTGGCGCTAAAATATCGTTTGCTTCGTTGAAGTATTGTCGGATGAGTTTCATGTCTTTTGAGAACCAAGACTTTATAATTCTTAGTGATGCAGGCAGAACAGAGGTCGCCTGGCCGTATTTAAAACTAGACACAGTGTAATTTCCAGAGGCTCGAAGCCAGGCCTCGTTTCGGCATAGCTCCTCACCCAGAAAAACCCGACTTGATAGGCGAGAGACCATTGCGAGCATTTGTTCTTTGATGTTAGCTTCGTTCCATTCTAACTCATCATCAGCTAAAAAATCTTGAGGTTCAAGTGCACTGAGTGCTTACCCGTGTTGTTGCCAAACAATGTGTCCATTACAAAGGTGACCTCCTTGCACAATGGCTCTGTTACGACATCTAGAAATGCATTAGCTCTCTAGTATCTGAGTGTTAAATCAAGATTTGTCCTTACTCAACTGCTTGGTAAGCTGCTTTTTGGCCACTACCTGTACGACTCTCCTTGGATGATCCAAGACAAGAAATGGCTCTAAACCAGGGATCTGAGCTCCGAAGTCCTGAATTATTAATTAGTCAAGCAAATTACCACAGTATAGGAAGCTTTTTTTGAACTGACATGTGCGACCGCTTTACCAAATACCAAGTGACGCTCACTACGCATTATGTTTGCGTATTCAGGTGGAAAGACAGTGGTCACGCCCGAATTAGTGATGAGCTTGAAGGGCTTCTTGCCGTATCGCTTGAGAGCATCATTGAAGATTTTGACGCCATCTTTCATGAATTTCTTGCGCTTAGATCCCGTAGTTTCGAACCAAGTGGGAGCATTGGCGAGAGGATATTCTGATTTTGGAGCCCAAACGGCGAAGAAAATAAGAAAAGAGATAAGAACTAGAGATGCTGTAGTAACTACAGGGAGAGCTTGCTTGATGCTAGCAAAGGAAGGTTCGAGTAGAAACCTAGGGACTCCTGAGGAGCTTGGGATCGTCATGTTGGACAACTGCCGGGCGATGGAGTTGTCCGTGGATGATGGTGTAGAGTAAAGCCAGGACGTGCATTGTTTTATATGACAGGAGCACCCCACATCTGTCTACATAGTACCGTGGATTATGAATAGCATGTTCCGTCGTTTTTAGACCGTCCGTCACAAGTTGGACTACAATGAGGGGGTTTTCCATGCATAGAAGATCCTGTCAAGGCATCCTTGGCAGTCACTGTCCTGAGGTTTAGTCACGCTAATAATCACGAGCTTGTTACGCTGCACACTCAGAGAAGGAAGGATAAATTGCAGCCTATCAATCAATACAAGATTACCCACTTATACATTGTCCACTTTCGCTGTCTTGAATTATATCGGGCTCAACAATATAGCTGGGGCCCAGGCCCTGTGGGGTAGTGTATGCATTGGCAAGATATTCCCTGTCCCCCATATGAGTGTACACACAGTTTCAATATCGATATGCTCACATCACTAAAATAGGGTGATTGGCATGGTTAACTTGGTCATATCCATCGGCATACGCGTCACTGCTTGGCTTTCTAGTCGTGAAAGGGTTTCAGGCTCTACTTGGACTCGTCTTGAGCCGGGACATATGCCTCAACTTTACTGACTACCATTCCGCTTTCCAACTGGAGTTAAGTATTTGTTTGGCACATATTTGGCCTTTTAATGAGATCTTACACATAGGTTATTCTATGTAGCGTAAGTAAGGCGGCTCGTGCGGGATGGGCCGAATCGCTGCTGGTCATCATGTTTGCTAGAATGAACAATGCGGTAGGGCAAGGATGTGTGTGTATGTGTGGAGGACGGATCCGGAACTATCGGCGTTCCGGCCAGTCGACGTTGTATCGTATGTAGTAGTTGTGTATCCACAACAGGCAAAAGTCTGCACAACGGCAGCTATCATTCGGCTCACGGCAGCTAGTGTTACCCGGCTCGCGGCAAGCACCCGCTTCGACTAGCTCAAAAGTGGCCTTTTACATTTACATGCATCAGGTAAGTAAACGAGCAACGGCAGGGATGACACTGTGCCAAGCAATGCAGACATACGAATCTGTCTGGGTTTTTCCGGTAAAGGATTAAAAAAATGGCAACTCTACCGATGAACGCTATTTGAAACGCTGCAATCGGATGGGTCAAGTGAGAGAGAGAGGGATAAAAACTTGATATCGTGCCCATCCATAACGGGGATTCCTGACCATGCTGTGTGAAGCTTAGCGCGGCCGGCAATCGCTAATCACTACAGGTCTTATATAGTCGGGGAATTCAACACAGATTGATCTAATGAAATGTCTCGGTGGATGAATGGAATTTGTAGTATTGTTGTTTTAGTAAAGTTGACACTGTTTAAGACATATCTTTTGATAGTAATAGGGAAGATTGAATAGTAAAGATTTAATTTGTTAATCCAAGTCTACTGTGTTGGGGGGAGAGGGGCCTTGTTGATGGAGTGTGGAGGGAGCGAGGGATCATTACATTGCCAACGGCGATTTAGGTGCGAGCAAGCAACGGCAATATAGCGGCTACCTAGGAATTGGAAAATTACATGTCAGTGTTCCTAAGTACTGTTATTTTAGGATGTAGATCCAGCGTAAACATGGTACATTCATGTAACTATACTTTGGAAAAAATTGGCAAACACACTTGTCATGGTCCAGCCCCGACCTATCCGTTCGGAGCCTACAAATGAAAAGAAAGAGCTACGCTGATTGAGATGTCACTCCCAGGCTTAAGTTCAAACATTGCTCAGTAACTTAGAGGAGTCACTTGACCTCTTTTTGCGACGATACCTTTGTGCGAATTTATCTCATGCCTATATTAAAGAAAAGCCTTGTGATCATGATGTTATCAAGCACATTTAACATACACGTCCTCGCACGCCTCGTGAAGAGACGAACAGAGAAAAAACGCCAATGATCCCAATAAACGGACCTGTATCATGACTACGGGGCTGCTCTGTGTCAAGTCTGCAAGCGACGCCAATCAAAGTTGGCTTTGATGGAGAAGACAAGGGGCAAACTCGACTCGTTGCGATCCTTGAAGTAGATGATCATGTATAAGATTTGAGGATTAGAGCCAAAATCTGTGTTAGAAAAACCAATTGAGAATGCATGACTAGCAAGGAAAATGGTTTCGTATTTTAAAGTTTAGTACAGATCAACACATAGTGAGGTAGATCAGCGCGCATCAAACATTGAGAATCAAACCATGTGAAATAAGTCGCTTGGATCTGTTTACTACAAGTCTCAAAATATACAAGCCTGGTTACAAAAAACATTAACCGCACATACACACAGCGAATGTTACCTGGCGGCACTACTCATCAACCCCCGGTTTGATGTGTTTATGTAAAAGCCATGCTCTTCTTGATCTCAGCAATGGCCAGCGCAGGGTTCAGTCCCTTGGGGCATGTCCTTGAGCAGTTGAGAATGGTGTGGCATCGGTACAAGCTCATGCTGTTGTTAAGCGCGTCCTGGCGCTCGGCCTTCTTCTCATCACGCGAGTCGGCGATCCATCGGTAGGACTGGAGGAGGACAGCAGGGCCAAGGTACTCCTCCTGGTTCCACCAGTACGAGGGGCACGAGGTTGAGCAGCAGGCGCAGAGAATGCATTCGTAAAGACCGTCGAGCTTCTTGCGGTCTTCCTTGGACTGACGGAACTCACGACCCTGGCCAATTGTTAGTGCAGGTTTCTAGAGGTGGGATCAGTCCATATACGTACATCTGGTGCGGGGGTGGAGCGCTGCAGGTATGGCTTGACGGAACGGTACTGCTTGTAGAAAAGCGTCATGTCTGGCACAAGGTCCTTGACAACGTACATGTGGGGGAGCGGGTAGATGCGAGACTCCTTGGCTGTGTCGGTGGGAATACGGCCTGTAAGAATTGTTAGCTTCGCAACCATAGTCTGCTGACTTGCTCCACATACAAAGGCATGCCAGTGTGTTGACTCCGTCAATGTTCATGGCGCAACTTCCGCAAATACCCTCACGACAACTCCGCCTAAAGGTCAAAGTCGGGTCCATCTCGTTCTTGATCCTGATGAGCGCATCCAGCATCATGGGTCCGGTCTTGTTCAGGTCCAGGGTGTACGATTGCATCTTGGGCTTGGATGTGGGCTCGTCAGGATTCCAGCGGTAGACGTGGAAAGTCTTCATTTTGGCATCTTTGGTGGGCGAGGACTCCTTGACGTTGGACGTCTCGCTCTCTGGAATGGGTTTCCGCGCGGCATCAGGCACAATCTTTTCGGCAGTCTTGGAGATGGGGTCGCGGGCGTGGACGTCGGTAACGGAGGCGAAGCTGCGAGAGAAAACTGCCGGCCGGACGGCTGTCGCAAGGTGTTAGCAGTGCTCAATGGCTGTCGAGGAGGGCCGCGTGGTTGAGCATACCAGCTGGTCTCAGCGCCAGACGAGTAAGAGCGCGAGTGCAAGCCATAGCTAGGTGGTGTGGAGTGGAGAGTGTCGGGTGGGCTCAGAGGTCAAGGTGTTGGTATCATTGAAGTTGGAGCATTGGGGCGCCACTCAAGTTCCCTCGGTTATGACAACTCGCTGCATGTGATTGGTGGCCGCCGCTTGTCGGACGATCCCGGCTTCTCGATCTCCCCTCGGTGCCACTACATCATCGTCGAAAACGTCAAGACTTTTCGCCTACATCTTGCGCCATAAACATGAAGCTTCGCGCGCCATTTTCGTACCGCATTGGCCCTGCAGTATCTTTCATACATTGCCAATGCTTCTCTAACATCTGCATTCTTGTGTTTTTCTCAATTGCAGCTATGTACCGAGTATTTTTATCCAACCCCTGTGAGATCGCGTGACCATTTTTATGTGCTACAAGTCTTCCGTCAGTCTTACATATAACATACTATATACGATAGGCTTGCTCTCACATGCATAATATTAGGGTTTTCTAGTACCGGGTGCAGCTTATCCTACACCAGTAGTATATTGACAGTACTCCAAGAAGACAATACCAGGTTGTTAATCAAGCCCCCTGAGATCAATTCCCCTTCGAGATCATGGTAGACAGTAAAGTTACCACTCTCCTCTTTTCACGCAGTACTTGTAGGGACTCGCTCCGCGTCAATATTGATTGATTTTTTTTCTTTTCAGCTCTTCTCATTCTTCAGTCTATCTCACTTTCTCAATGTTACTTTCTTGCTATCACTATTATGATATCCCACTTGACACGGGCTGGGCCATCGTGTATGTGCATATATCTTTTCAATATGCTTGTTGTGTCTATTCAATGTTATGTGCTTCATCCTGTCAGCCTCTTCCTAATCTATCACTTCACTCCTATCACCAGTACCCCATCTTGGTCATCACCGCTCTACGCTTCAAACATTCGTTACTAAAAGTACATACGCCTCAGGCATATGTTGTTATCACTTGTCTTCTCATTCCCGTCGTATAGCTTGACTCACTTTCACCACATAACAAAGCATCCCAAGACGGAAGGCATGACCAAGCCCAGATTCGTCTCCACTTGGGGTGACTCCAATCACCCCATGGCCGAGCATATGCAAACGGTGGCTCGCAGGCGTTTGTTGTTATGATTGTGGGCTTGGCGCTTGCCGTCGCTGCCAAAAAACCGCAGCTCTCCTTGTATCTGTCACCACTCCCTCTACACACGCACACGCATTGTACCTCTACTTTCTGTACAACATTCGACGCATCTAGAACCGCAAAGTTGTCTAGGTAATGGCATCGTCTCAGGTAAGTTACTATCGTGTTTTGATTACACCCGAGCCCTGTCACTGACCGTCCTTGAGATGTTTTCGCCCACCAAGGGTAGAGTCGCGGGAGGTAGCAAAGCTACCAACCACTGCGACTCTAATCGCACTGGCCATTCCGCGCCTTTCCAAGCGGTTAATCCATTCAAGGACCCAATGGCTACAGCAAGCTTTGAATCAGATGGGAGCACCTCATCTGGACAGTCCATGTCACAGGTTGGCCGCAGTGATGCTACAGTACGTCCCACTACTTCATCTCGAAGAGGGCAGATCGACATGCAGCCACTACAGGCTATGCATCTCGTAGAGCTTGCCTAAACCCGAAGATCTCTCAAAGAGTATAAGCTAATTGATGTATAGCCGATTACTCCACTGCGAACTCGCCGTAATTCACATGTCAACCATGCATCCGAAAACTGGCGCTCACCTCGTAACACCTCCCTCAACGGCAGCTGTGGTTCCCTTACCATGGCTAGTCCAGGCACATCTCAGAGGGCTTTTGTAAACGGTATCCCTGAGCACCTGGCTGTGCAGGAGATGGCTTTTCGGCAAGGTCAGCACGACTACAACGGCTCCCATGACAAAACTCCACCAAACCCCTTTGCAAAACCATTCGACAATGTCTGGGCACAGTATTACAAGCTGGGCGCCGCATATGGAAAAGCTCCTGCTACCTCGCCTACGGCAACTTCATCCCCATCACACGGGAACTTTGCATGGTCTGTACTCATCAACCCCGCCACACAGGACTTGGAGCATCCGAACGGCTCAGTCGATATGGAATGGGCTCGCACAATCTGCGTCATGGCATTGAAGTGCATGAGGGAGCTGATTATTATTGTTTGCCGACGACACAACGATTGGCGCAAGATTGTCTGCGACATTCCCCTTCCGGTCAAGCATGCCATAGTAGCATTCCCGGATCTCTGCGAGCACTACGAGGCCCTCCTGCGTGATGCTCATGAAGTACTCAGTGGCCGACTCCCTATGGGCTACTAGGGAAGACAGCAGTAGTAGTTGAGTATGTCCAAGTGGTATGGAGAGTCCGAGTCAAATTGCTAATACGAGAGACAGCTTCCTGTTTGTCGGCTTTGTTCAATGTTCTGTGCGTTTCGACCATTGCATGAATATCTGTTGATGCTCATGAAGATGTATATCTACGGACCGCTAGTGGCATACATCCGAGTAATACTTTTGAGGACAGCAGAAGGTTGGGAGATGCAGTGTTGCGATCCTCGAGATTTGTCTGTTCTTCTATCAGTTGTGGCGTTTGTCGGTGGTAGGCGCGGCGTAGTTTCGGCGTGACGGTGGAAAGGGTGTGACGCGGCAAGACCGCCATGGTCTTACTTTCGTTAATGCACAGCGATGTCTCGGTCCTATGTAACGATATATGTGGGTCCAGATCCCATCGGCGGAGGCACTTCGGATGTACTTGTAGTAAAGCTAATTATGCGGCCTTTTCAGCGGTCGAAGAAAAAGACATGGTGGACAATGGAGCCGTAATTTCCTAGCATTTTTTTGCCTGTCGAGCTGTGATGAGGTATCAATGGACACGTGCGAACATCCATGTGCACATCTATCTAGAAGATCGTATCAGATATAGAGCACAAGACAAAGCAGGCCATAAGTCGTCTGATTCAAGTCTCCTATTGAGACCTGTGTCTTGTTAATCGCCGCACGTCATCACGTGGGGACGCGAATACGGACTTCGGGGCTTCCAAGGATTGCACAATATCCGCGTCATGCACACCGTGAGATTTTCACCCTCATTCTCCAGTGCCTCGTCGAGTTTGGTGAAGTCAGCATCTAACATGACAGCAACAGCTTCTATGCGGCCTTATGCCTTTGATCGCCAACAAAGCCTGCTGCAGCTTGACTGCAGCGCCGACTTGCGTCACTATTCTCGCAATCTCGGCCCCGGCGTCCAGGAGCGCATCTTCCAAACCACGAGCGACGCACTAAGAACTCAGCTCGATGAACACCGCGACTTTCTGCTCAAACACCAGAGACAACAGCAACAACAGCAGCCGCATCTGGCTCCTGTTCCCGTTCCGAGCGGTCCTGAGCCAGCTCTCGCCCAACCGTACACACATGCTCGGCCCTACGCCCAACCGCCGCAGCCCCCTTCGGTATCTTCGGTTATACCGGCCGCAATAGCAACGCGGAGTCCGACAAAAACGGTGCCAGGGGACATCAATACATACCCGCTCGCGCTACGTGAAGCGTTGTACTCGCAGAAATCAGCGCCACAAGCCCATGACGGTCGGACAATATACCATGTGGTGGCGAGCAGAGCGGGCACCCACTCAGGCGAAGAGGCAGCTGTAGTAACCAGCCGCCGAAACATGGTGGTAGCCAATGAAGTGGCAGCACAGTATTTTCTTGAGAATTACCTGGAAAACAGCGAGGAAGTAAAGTACAAGCAACTAGGGAATGGCGCATTGAGTTGCGAGGCAGTCAGGGACAAACAACGTATAAGCGTGTATGTACAAGAGGCGAAGTCAGTAGAGACATAAAGAAGAGGTGTATGCAGTTCCAAGGATTGGATATGGGTTTGGGGTCCCATGGTAGTCTTTGTGATGATCACATGTAAGGTCCGACCACACTGTTATTTTCCGCACAGCTCTCCAGTAGGTCAGCAGCCGATCGGTGATTACTGCAACGAGAGATGCGTGTCTGGGCATCGATTGTGGCATTGCTGTGACAGTGTGGGAGCTTCAACAGTACTGTTGTACATGCAGCGAAGCACTAAGCAGCCTGTAGGACTCGTGAAAGCATGGACCTTGACATGATGAGAAGACCATTACTATGGATGAACAGAAAATAGGTTTCTTTGTTCTATGTCGCATAATCATGGACTGCTTCTCTGAGATGTGGGGATGGAATAACTGCGTCATTGTAGAATTTAGATTTCTGTAGATTTGTTTAAGTAATTAGTAGCAAAAAAGAGCGTAATTTGTCTATAGAAATAGTATGTTAGAGGCCTCACAGGCCATGTGTTGTCCGTTCCCGTCTGACATAAATCCTACTATAGATCCACATGCCGCTCTATCCGCTCTATAATAGCAAGAGGCAGGCGCAATTATATACTTTGCATGCTTCCATGGCAGACGCTCCAAGGGGGAGAAGAGAGAAAAAAACAGATACATAAAAAAAAGAAATGAATGCCGAGGTAAGTAGATGAATCCAAGTAAGAAATGCGGGGACGCTCATGTCCGTAGCAGGGACGTGGGGTCATGTGCAGCAACCGGAGGTCCGTATCTACCATGTAGAGTCCATTGCGTATTAGACTTCCCAACAAGGCAGTTTGGAGCCATGGGCGTTGATCACCGTGGGCACGTTCCGCCAATAACCAACGTACAAAAGGAGGAACGGAAGTCCGCGACTGACAAGGCAAAGCAAAATAGGTTTTATCGATCACCCCCAACATATCGACACTCACACACGTGCGCTTTTCAAGGGCCTGACGAGTGAACGAGGGTTTCGCCACTTTGTGTTTTTCTTAAGAATTGTTTGCAAGTATTGCATGCAACGCCCTTTCCGACGACTCCGTGCGTGTGTACAACTTACTTACACGAATACGACTACTGCGACTACTTAGTAGTTATTCTGGACCAATTAATACTACTGCTACGTAGTGTACCCTAGTTTATCAAAAAAAGAGGACCCACGACCAGCGACCCGTTCTGCGCAAACAATCCTACTTACTACACACGTTCTACCATTTCCGCGGACCCTTTTCTTATCTACCGCGCCACAACCGCATAGCAGTAGCCATGGCGCCGCCGAATACTCCTTTCATCTACATCCTATGGAACTTGTACCTTGAGCCTGTCTTTGCGCTTGGCGGGGTATACAAACTGCTCTTCGGCCCGGAGAGCTACTTTGACTTTATGCCGTCGACGGCGACCTACAGCGCCTCATCACAGATAGTGTGCAACCAATTGGCAGCGGCGTACATCTTGTTTGCATTTGTAGAGGGGGTGCTGTTGCGGGTTGTGGATGATAAGAGGACGTGGCGGTGGATCTTGTTTGGGCTGTTGCTGTGCGATCTGGGGCATTGCTATGCTGCGTGGTGTGAGATGGGGTATACGCTTTTTGGGCCGGAGGGGTGGGGTGGGAAAGATGGGGTCACGAATAGTTTGAATTTGCTGCCGGTGTTGATTCGGATGGGGTATCTGCTGGGGATTGGGGTGCCCGAGGGAGTGACGAAGAGGAGGGCTTGATGGCAGGTGGATACACGGCTCGAGACTTTGATGACAACGCCAAACTCGCCTGGGAACAACGATGCTACATACCAGTGGGTTGCAATGAGCAAAGCAGTTTTATCTGTGATGTGCAATGCTTTTTCTTGATAGTCAGCTATGGAGACTCGACTCGAGGGTGTGAACGCCTGGGGCGGGCTATCATCGGCGCTCTCTTCCATTCAATACCTAGCGGGTGGGGCTTGAGGGCTCATCACATCACGCTGAGAGGTGAATAACGGGCGAACGGTATCCCGACAGTCCCGCCCCACGTCATAATGTGGTCGCTGGCTGTCATTGTGAAAAAGATAGTAGCATGCAATCAGGTGAGATCATGTCTGACTGCTTTTCGGGACTGTTGTTCTTACTTGATAACTACTCTCACGGCCGGGAACCCAGAACCCTCCGTCCCAAGGGCACTGCAGGCTCTCTCTGAAGCGCAAAATTTATCATGAGGAGGCTGAATATTTGCAACCGGCATATAGACAGGCTATGGATATGTGGAGACAACGGCCTGCGTATGGGTCAACATCGGATTCTTTGCGTGACATCGGATTCTCGAGGAATGCCATGACGGCTTTGGCGGCTGGCGAGCTGCTAAGCTGCCCAACCCTGCCCCCACCTGCCCCTCCTCCCCCTTGCAAAGTCACGGCCCTGCGGCATTTGAAGACTGCAGTACACAAGAGAACAGAGAGCGATAGATAGTACACACGCCGGTGATAACCCTTTGGCAGTTGCAGCGCCCTCTCGTCTCGCACTAGCCCGCGGGGCACGCCATCTCACTCGCAGCTGTCAGGCGCACCAGCAGCCGTCTACAGCAGGCTTGCGTGCCAATTTCGGGAAGTGGACGTAAAAATGATGCTCGTCTAGACTTGTCGCAGGACTTTTCTCGGGGCGGCACAGTGATTGCAGTGGGTTTGGTGGAAGAGGGTGGAGAGAGGCCCACTGGCAAAGCAGTACTTGCTCCGTGTTGCGCGGATACGTCATGCTGTCTGCCCGCCGCGGGGAGGGGGACAACGCTGCAATTTGCGGCGGCCACCAGGTCAAAACAACCAACAAAGTCAATCCCTTGCTGGCCAGCCTCACGACACCTTGGCCAGCTACACCCACAAAGCCATCTGCAAAGCCAGTCGTTTGCACGTGCATCCTCCTAGCTCCCGCTTTCTTGCTTTGGGCGCCGGGTAGACAGGCCGGAACTCACTGAGGCTTCCCTGCAAATAGCTCAATCACGATCGATCGAAGCTACCGGAAATTTCACAGCGTCCTTCCACCGCCTCTATCTATACCTTCACCTAGACCCTCTCGCCAGCTGTGAAAACGGCCTCTGCTCTCCGACACCTGTATCTGCTCACCATCTCTATCCCCCTCCTTATACAGCCAATTCCTCATCGCGGGGCGACAACGCCAGCCCACCGCCCAACATGACTACACATATCGTTTCTCTGTAGGTAGTCCACCATTTCCTCTCCTAGTTTGCAGACTGCCTGTTTGTTTCTTTTCCTCTTGACTAGTAGGTAAACATCTTCAATTCCTCTAATACAGCTAGTTTCCTGCCCTATACCGTCGACTTTCAAGACAACAAGTCTGCCCCTCCAAGCCCACCCCAAGCAGCCGTACCTACTCAGCTGAGCGACACTCTTCGCAAGCCATCCAACACCAGCCTATCGAGCACACGGCCCACACCCGGCCAGAATGAAGAGCAACCACAGAGTCTCCTTAAGCGGGCGCCGCCCTCGCACATCGCGCTGCCCAAAGCCTCGACACGCATGACCGAGCACGAAGACTTCTTCACGCCTGGCCAGCCAAGCGCCGCCACTCATTTCCCCAATGCAGCCGACCCCCGCGGCCTGGTCCGCAGCGATGCCCATGTCCCTGAATGGGGTGGCAGCGGCATCTTCTTCAACCAGCCCGTGTCCAGAGCCGAGCCCGCTCCACCGGACACGATTCTCGAATACGCAAAGGCGCAAGAGCGGGCGCAGGCTCAGAAGGAACGCATGAAGGGCTCGCACGCTGGCAAGCCAGTGACAGACCCGAGATGGGCTGCCGAATATAGAGTTGTCCCTGCTGCCCAGGGCAACGGCGGCCTGACCAACGCTCTCCGTGCTGCAGTCGACAACAAGTGCCTTAGTGATACCATCACCGTTGGCCTGATTGGCTTCCCTACAGACAGCCTGAACGAAGAGAAGAAGACTGAGATTTACGAGAAGCTTGAGGAGGAACACGATGCCCTGACCGTCTTTGTCAGTGACAAGGACTTTGATGGCCACTACGCCCACTACTGCAAGACGATTCTATGGCCAGTATTTCACTACATCATTCCTGACCACCCCAAGAGCAAGGCTTTCCTTGACCACTCCTGGGTCTTCTATGTCAAGGTCAACCAAGCTTTTGCAGACAAAGTTGTTAAAAACTACAAGCGCGGAGATGTCATATGGGTGCACGATTATCACCTATGTCTTGTTCCTCAGATGATTCGCCAAAAGCTACCAGATGCACAGATTGGCTTCTTCCTGCACACAGCTTTCCCGTCCTCTGAGGTTTTCCGATGCCTTGCTGCTCGGAAGGAGCTTCTCGATGGTATGCTTGGAGCAAACCTTGTCGCCTTCCAGACACCCGAGTACGCCCATCACTTCCTGCAAACCTGTAGTCGTATTCTCTCCGTAGAGGCTACAGAGGACGGAGTTCAGCTTGAGAACCGCTTCGTCAACGTCTGGTCCTCGCCCATCGGCATTGATCCTCGCGCACTGTCTCTAGCTCGAGAAGAGCCGGAGGTTCTGGAGTGGATTCAAACCATGCAGAAGCGGTATGAGGGAAAGAAGGTCATTGTTGCTCGCGATAAGCTAGACAACATTCGTGGTGTGCGCCAAAAGTTACTAGCTTTTGAGCTGTTCCTTAATAAGTATCCTGAGTGGAAGGACAAGGTTGTCATGATCCAGGTCGCAACATCTACTACCGAAGATACCGAGTTGGCGGCAACCGTTTCTGAGATCGTTACCCGTATCGATGCTGTCCACTCGACCTTGACTCACAATCCCCTCATCTTTCTCAGACAGGACATTTCCTTCTCGCAGTACCTTGCTCTGCTATCCATTGCCGATGCGCTTGCCATTACCAGTCTTCGCGAGGGCATGAACTTGACCTGCCATGAGTTTGTCATTTGTCAGGATGGACGCGGAGGCGAAAAGAAGCACAGCCCCGTCATCCTCAGCGAGTTCACTGGTAGTGCGTCAATTTTTGATGGTGCGGACCTCGCTATCAATCCATGGGACTACAACAACATTGCTGAAGCCTTCCGGATCGCCTTGGAAATGAAGGACGATGAGAAGGAGCGAAGGTTCATCAAGATGCGCAACATCGTCATGAACCAGACTGGCGATAACTGGGTCAAGAAACTGAGCACTCACCTTGCCAAGGTCTACGAGGAGCAATTCAAGCGCGATACTATGTCAATCCCCCGACTTTCTTCGAGCAGCCTTGGAAGTGCCTACCAGAAGTCACAGAGACGCTTGTTCATTCTAGACTATGAAGGCACTCTTTCGTCGTACGGGTCTGTCAATAAGACTATTCTCGCTAACACCGAGCGTGTTATCGTTCTTCTTAACGATCTCGTTGCCGACGACAAGAATGCCGTTTATGTAATGACTGGTCGAACTGTTCGAGAAACTGAGCTCATTTTCAACCGCGTTCGTGGCCTTGGTCTCATTGCAGAGAATGGCTGCTTCTTGCGCGAGCCTGGCGCGAAAGAGTGGATTCAATTCCCTGACGAGGAGAAGACAGTGAAGTGGAAGGACTCAGTCAAGCCAATTCTACAATACTACCTTGAGCGTGTCGAAGGCAGTTGGGTTGAGGAGCGCCACTGCTCGATCATCTTCCATTACAACAAGTCTGACGACAAAGACGACTCTACAAGTCGACACGCCGGCGATTGTGCGAATCACATCAATGACGCTTGCGAGCAGCAGCGTGTCAAGGCAATCCCCACAAAAGACTCAGTAGTCATTGAGCCAGTAGACTTTGACAAGGCTTCTGCTGCGCAGCACATCTTCAGCAAGTACCCAGAGGATGCCCGGCCCGACTTCCTCCTCGCTGCTGGCAATGACCGCAGTGATGAAAACGTCTTCCGCTGGGCCAAGCAACTCAAAGACGATGCCATTGTTCCCAACGTGCAGACTGTCACAGTTGGTGATCGCAACTCAATTGCCATGTCGACACTCCCCAACGGGGCAACTGGTAAGTCATTCTTTTGACAATTGATATATAAAATGCTAATAATTACAACAGGCCTACTTGGTGCTTTGACAAAGCTTACCAAGAATCCTCGCAGTTCACCTTAGGGCTTTTGAAGTATATTTCGAGCGAGGACGACGTAATGATTGGGACATGTCTCACGCATTCGATACCCCTTCTCACGAAGTAATGATTTGGCAATGGAATGGATGCACAACAGCGGCTCGCGTGAAGATGAAGGATCACGGGAGAACTTCCGCTATTAATGAATCAACGTCAAGCACTGCATGGGAGGAGTTTAGCGGGGTCTTTTACTACGATAGATTCTTTCCGCATTCAATACGAAACCCAGAGGTGAATGCTGTTTCTTGAAGTGCCGCCCGTGAAGACTTATCCACGATGCGGATATCTATTCCGAATTTCTGCGGGTTTTACATAATCATACGTCTAGATAAGCTCTCCCCTGCTCAAAAGTCACGGGCAGGAAATGTATGCATGTGTTGAGGGACTACTACCTAAAGCGGAGAGAAACGCCTAGCCCCCGGTCAGCGATATCACTAGCCTATGCTCTTGGTAGACTAAAAGAAATTTGAATACAACAGCCGCTTTCACCACCATACATTTTAAAATGTTGAATTTCATATGCTAGCGTACTAAAATATTGCATATAAATTGATATAACTAGTGCAAGGGAAAAATCATATAATTCTGTAATGCTGGAGTGCAGTCGTGTGTTATTAATGCTGCATTGTTTTGGTGAGGGCGTTTGGGTTAGTAGTGTTTATCCGGGTATTTTAGTTCACCGAGAGTTACTCTGATAGCTTAGTGTAAGCTCAACCCCGCTTCGCATGTACCTGCTTTCTCGAGAGCGAGCTAATGCTCGTCCCTGGTCGTATCTACGGCCCGTTGCCAGCCTACCAGACCATAAATACGTACAATAAGACAGGTGAAATACACCCCAGGCCTTTTCAGTAACATAAACCCGGTATAGACTTTCGCAATGCCACAAACCGTCCAACTCAAGGCGCCGAATGGAAAACAGTGGGAGCAGCCGACAGGCCTCTTCATTGATAATGAATTTGTAGACTCTTCGTCCCCTTCGAATATGATATCGTCAGTAGACCCCGCCACTGAGAAGGAGATCGCTGCAGTACAGGCTGCGACCGCGGAAGATGTTGATCGTGCGGTCAAGGCTGCGAAGAAAGCACTCCAGAGCCCAGAATGGAAGTACATCGATACCAGTGAACGCGGAAGGCTCATAGCGAAGTTGGCAGACTTGGTCGAGGAGAACAAGGAGCTTCTTGCGACGGTCGATGCCTGGGACAATGGTAAGTAAACATCTAACTGTACAAGCACGCGAATGCTAATGGCTGTACAAGGCAAACCATACAACAACGCCCTTAATGAGGATCTTCCCGAATCATTTTCCGTTCTCCGCTACTACTCTGGCTGGGCGGATAAGATCTCGGGCCAGACCGTCAATGCCACGCGCCAGAAGTTTGCGTACACTATCCGCCAGCCCATTGGTGTTGTCGCCCAAGTCATTCCCTGGAACTATCCCTTGTCCATGGCATGCTGGAAAATCGGGCCTGCTCTTGCTTGCGGAAATACTGTGGTACTCAAAGCCGCCGAACAAACGCCTCTGTCAATTCTCATCTTAGCCAGCCTCATTAAGCAAGCTGGGTTCCCACCGGGCGTAGTGAATATCCTGAACGGTCTAGGAAAGGAGGCTGGCGCGGCATTGGTACAGCATCCGTTGG